ACTTTGAGCTTCCGCGGCAGACACAGGATGCTGGTGGGTGTGAGAAAGGGCTTCACGGATGACCAGCCCAAAGCCTTGACCCGCTGGGTATGTGTGTGTCACCCTCCGGCAGTAATGCCAGGCTTAGGGCAGGCTCCTTTTTGGCTGGATTTTTCCATGTTTACTCTAGTTACAGGACAACAGCTACAAAGAGAGAGTTCCACAAGTGATTTTAAAGAGGCAGGGCGAGGATGCAGCCTATTGTTAAGGCTGCACTTGTCCCCACTGGACCTCGCTCTGATTCGTTTCTAACACTTGGGTCACTTGCTCTGAGATTTCCCATGCTGTTGGGAAGCTTCAGAAAATGAGGATCTACAGTCACCATCCCACAGTATGTACACAGGTACACATACGGAGCAAACAGACTTCACTGCACACAGGCAACATGAATTTTCACATGTCCTAAAGGTGACCAGTTTGTTAAAGAAGTTTTTTCCCTAAGAAAATAAACTGGAGCCTGGAGAACTACAGTGACTCCCCTGCCTTTGGTCACCAAGGAGGTTCGGCAGTTCTGAGCTGCGAAGCATCTTGCTGCTCCCTGACTTCACCAACAACCAGCACCAAGCTCTCCTCCTAAGGACCAGCTGTGGGGTCAGGTTGTCTCTGTATACCTTGGCCATAATTTTCTCCATTTATCTGCGGACTCCAAGGAAGAGAAATGTGAAAAACTACAGCTGGGAAGAGGACAAATCTCTGGATCCTTCACATCTACTGGCCATGTCAACACTGATCTCTCCGATGTATAGGTCTCTCCTCTCTCCCACAAGCGCTCTTCCACCCAGACCAGCTCGTCCCCTCTCCCCACCTCCATCTCCTATGGTCCTGCCATCCCTGTCCCCTTCCTCCACACACCCTGCCAGACTCTGGCCAAGCTGCTCCCTCCTCTTCTTCCTGTTCAGCAAAGTACAAATCTGGGGGCCTACAAACCAAAAGCAATGGGCAACAACAGACCTAGGGCTCTGTCTCAACAGAGCATCATCTAGCTTATCTGTAACAGCTCCCAGGGAAGGAGGCTTCCGAGCCTCTCTAGGTGGTCTTGTGAGAGTTTCACGATGATAACAGGATGTTTTCTCAATATCCAGCCTAAATAATTCTGGCAAATTAGCAAATCAGTAAATTAAGCTGCCATGGAAATCCGGGAATTTAATAACCACTATTACATGTTGGCAGACTGCTAGATTTCACAATAGTTTTCTTTGTGTTGCACTGAATAGAATTAATTCTTTCAACCTCTTCTCACGTTTCTTAATCTCTTCTTGTTGTTTCCTTCTGGACACTTTCCAGTACGCCTGTGTCCTCCTCAGAGCAGGACACCCAAAACTGGATTTGATGACACAGATGATGCCTCTGCAGTGCCACGTGTGATTAAGTCACCTTCTGCACCTTACAGAGGATACTCCTTCAATACCACCCAAAACAAGATCTGTTCTTTTGCAATAGCCTCTCACTGATGATTCATTTATGGTCCACTAAAAATCCTCAGTCTTTTTCTATCCCTCCCCTTCCAGGTCAATAATCCTGACTTAGTAAAAGTGCATTTTAATTTCTTCCTTTCAAATTAAGTATTCTGTGTCTGCCTTTATTTCTTATCTGGATTCCCTCTCCCATTTCTCAAGGTCACTCTGAACCCTGACCCTGTTCTCCCAAGTGCCTGCAACCCCTCCCAGCGTGATGTCATCCCAAACTGTTATAAACATACTTCCATCTTCCAAACCGTTATAAACATACTTCCATCTTCCAAACCACCACTGAAAATAGTGCAAGCCTTCCTCCAGAAAGTGACCTTGCTGATATATCACACGTTACTGCAGCACTTGGATCAGTGGAGAGATCAAAGTGCAAATCTTGTTCAAGCTTCATTCTATGTGAAGATATTTAGAAGTACCACGTTTATCTGATAGGCTGCAACTTCTGGAAATACAGACATCCATTTAGAAACTAATTCATGTGGTAAAGGTAGGATACATCAAATTCAATAGGAACTAACTAATGAAATTAATAAAAACAATGAGAAGGCTATTTCCCAGTGAACTCTGTTGCTGGGGTCAGCCAGATACAATTTGTCAGTCACAGGCTTAGACAACCGAAGCCGCTGGATGAACCCAGCAGCGCAACCCTATCCATCCCGCAACATGAAGACAAAGATTCAGCAAATAATGAATCATAACCGACTTCCAGGATTAACACAAGAAGAGACATATATCAGGGCACAGTTCATTTCAAGCTGTTGCTTTGTATTCATGTTGTTGGAGCCACCAGGCTCCATTTCTGAATTATTTTAATATCACAGCATGCAGAAGCCAAAACAGATTTCTCATTAGAGTTAAGAATCTGAAGTGATTCAATTTAAAAAATGCTAAAGTCTAATTTTAATAGATCACATCAAGTTATTGCCCCAGCTCTACTCAAGATCCCCAAAGAAAGCAGCAAGATAAGGACCAGGGGAGTCTCTGGCAGGATGAGCACCCACTGCCCAACATGAAACGAGCTTGGGAAATTCTGGTTACAGACCGTCTATGGCTGAACAAATACAACCCCTGAGAAAACATTCTGGAGATTTAAGAAACAGACACTTAAAAACCCCATTTTAATTGGAAAAGCCATTTTTCCATTACTTTCTTTTCAGTGCTTATAACCCTACAAACCATTATTTTCCTAAACATTTTTCAGCTGCAGCTTTTCCATGACATGCACAAGAGCCTCTCTCAGGCAAAATCTTCTGAAACAATTACCGGGAAAGCACATGCAACCTTACAATACTGGAGTACGCTGCTTGGCATCACAACTCCAGATAAATCTCTGCCTTCAGAAACCAACTCACAAGAAGGAATTTTCCCCCTTCTCTTTCCGATGTGCTCAAGCTTACTGTTATTCAGATCTATTCCACTATATAAGAAGGTGCACTTCTAAAGCTCCAAAACATTTTTAACAGTCCGTGCATATAAACAGCTTTCTACTCTGCATATTTATAAGTAACATTGTTCAAAATTCTCAACCATAGAACAGAGTTAATGCAGTTCTCAAGGTCCAAAGCTGCTGACAGCACGGGTGAGATGGCGAAATACCTGCAGCTCCTGATCAGGTGCAAGCAACAGCATTTCTATTTGCAACAAGTAAAGAAAACCGCTTTTACTGACCACAGTGGCTCTGTAATGAGAAGGCAATGAGCACCCTTAAAGACTTCTGGCTACAAAAAAAGTCAGCACTAAATAAAGCAGGGACAGGACACGGCAGGAGAGGCACACTCCCTGATGGCTTTCACGGGTCAGCTTTCACCCTACCCAACCTACACGTGTGAATTGAGCTCTATTTATAAGCCTTGCACCAATTTTTTTTTTTTAAATGACCTTAATATAGTGCAGTTGTTATTTTGTTTCTGTTGAACTTAGCAACAGGAAACTCTGTCAGTCCTGCAGCAAACTTTCCATTCCCCCCGGCACTCCCATTCCTGCACCAGAAAGGCCAGATTTCAAAAGAGGTGTTTGACGGGCTGCGGGGGGAGAGGAAGAGGAGAAAAAAGCACACACACACACACAAAATCAAAATGCCGGTAAAACATGCAAAATGGAAGCCAAATTCACTATGTTTCTTTTCTTTTTTCCTCTGTTTAAAAGGAAAAGGCAGTGCCCTAATTTGAATTTTCTAAATATATCTTACTTAACTACCAGATACCTAGGTATTAGTCATGAAAATTATCTTTAATAAAGGGTCATAAAAAAAAATCATCAGCATCTTTATACTCACGCGTTCCAGTAACAAAAGACTTAGTTATCAGACAGCACAAATTTTAGCTTGGAAAGTTATTTGCTCTAGTCCCTGGCTAACTCACTGATTAAACAGCTACAGAAATTAAGCCTTAACTTGTTAAAAACAAAATAAACCTGATTTTATTACAAGCTTTGGCAAGACTGCTCTGCCGCCTAAAGAGCTTTACTGTGGGATGAGCAACGTTTTTTGGTGCTCCACCCTGCAATGTTAACTCATCCCTGCAATATTTTCTCTTTTAACAGCTTCATAATGGTACATTAACACACAAACACAGCTGCTCAATGGCAACGTGCACCAGTACAGGCTGTCAGCAATTTAGCATTTACAAAACACTTTTTCAGGAATAAGAAACTATACATAAAATATAGGAGCAAATGCAAATCCAGCTAGTAAAGGTAAAACCAAAAAACCCAGCTCCCGATAAAGCAGAATATGTTTTAGGGATGCTTTAAACCAAAATGACATTCCTGTCAAGCCCAGTATTCACTTTTTTTTTTTTAAAATCATAGACAGTCCTTAAACGCAGCAAAGCACAAGTAACAGAAAACAATATCCACTGATTTCTGATCCCTGGCATGACCTTTTCATATTGTTTCACTGACATGAGGAATACATGGTCTCCCTCCACATTTGATCCCTGTATGTCTTCCCACTATTAATTTTTCTTCCAGCAAAGCCACTAACGCTCCCAGACAGCCTTTAGACCTCAGAGTCTGTGCATGAACCAACACTGACCACAGCCACGGTCTCCTTTGCCAAAAACTCTCTGGAGGGGCAAAGCCTGAGACGGGATGGAGCAACTCGCCAAGACCATGCACGTGCGGGGACCTCAAAGGTGCTGCCACCCTCCAAACAGCATCACCAACCCCAAGTGCATTGAGGCATCACTTTTATAAAATTATATACAAATCTTGGTACAACCCTGCCTTACGAGGAACCTTCTGGGTCAATCTCTATGTCGCCCACTGAGACAAATAAATGTGGCTTAATCCAGGAGCTGAGAAAAGCACGGTCTAAAAAAGCCCATGCTATTTTTGAAAGACTAAAAACAATGTCATGGTGATGGATACCGTTCAGCTTTGCAAAGGCTACAGAAAAGAAACCAGAAGGTTAGGTGGCTGGCCACAGCAGCAGTGGCGTTTCTTTAAAAAGCACAGAAAAAGACAAGGTGAGAAGGTATAAGTAGCACTCACCGCTTCCTCGTGGGCTGTGCTCTCGTTGTGATCTTTCAGAAAATCCAGCTCATCTTCAGTTTTCATTTCCAACTTCCCTGTGAAAACAGAGGGTTCACACAGGCAACTTAAAAACACACTTCTTTCAGCGCTGCTGCTATTTTTCTTTTCATTCAAACCAGTTTCAATAAAAAAAGAAAATCCAACCCCAAAGCCCCTTCAGCAAGTCCACTTGACTTGCAACATCTGGTTTCATTACCAACTTTGCTGCTTGTTTGTTATTAGTTTTAACAACTATCAAGTCTGGGACTGAAGGAAACTACAAAACAGTAGCAAGCACAGTGTAAAACAACTGAAAGGCTCTAGGTGAGGCTGAGCACACCTGCATGTATTTGCCCATGTATTTTCTTGGCTCCCATTCGCCTAGTCAAAAGAACCAAAACTTCTGCTGCTTTCCTTCTTTCCGTAACCTGAAGACAATGCAGGAAACCAGCCTTGCTTTCTCAGCTGGTATTTTAAGTGTTGGGGTTAAAAAAAAAAAAAATCACAAACTTAAAAAATTCAGTCCACCTGCACTGCCTTAAGGATGACAATTAGTTCCTTGGACTAGGCAGGCAAACCCTTTTCTACTGGAGTTTACAAAGTTCCAGCTGATTTTCCCCTTCCTCACACTCCCACGACGGTGTCACCACAGCAGGGGTACAAACAGCATGTCCCAGCTGCTTTTTCTGCCCAGCAAAGGCTTCATTAGTCACTGTTCCCCTGGGGTTCCCTTCTGTCTAGCTTTTCCTGGCATAAAGTCAACGTCCTAATACTCTTTCAACCCTACGCTAATGACTCTCATGACACACAGGGTACTTTTAAAGGAGTGAAGTGATTTGACCAAAGCCACCCACGTGGAGAGCGGCTGTGTTAGGGCTAAACACGCTCTAATCTTGCTCCCTCTCTCATTTCTACTAAAAACAAATACTGGATGGATGACAACGCCTTCTTAAGGGCGACATCCGTTTGCAGTGAGTTTACACATTCAGAGATTTAGCAAGAGGAACCTCCCATCTTCACAGGGAAACTGCTGTCATAACTGTCACCAATGCTATTCCATTGGCATTAGAGTCTACCTTTGATTTGGGGACTATGGGGTTTCACAATGTTCTACTGATAAAATAATCCAGTATCATTAAGTCAAACTGGCATGATTTTGTCTCGATTAGATGGGTTTGTGGGCAGACCTCTGAAATCAGAGGTAATGCTAGAAATTTCTGTGCATTCCATTTGTTGGCAAAGCAGAGATCACGGTCACGACGAGATCTGCTCAGGGTCATGGCAACACCGTGATGGTTGAGATCTTGGTCCAAAGACAAAACACACAAGGAAGAAACCACTGGTGTACTGAGGATGTGAGAATCATAGAATCACAGAATGGTTTGGGTTGGAAGGGACCTTAAAGATCATTGAGTTCCCCCCCCCTGCCATGGGCAGGGACACCTCCCACTAGCCCAGGTTGCTCAAAGCCTCATCCAGCCTGGCCTTGAACCCCTCCAGGGATGGGGCATCCACAGCTTCTCTGGGCAACCTGGGCCACTGCCTCACCACCCTCACAGTGAAAAATTTCTTCCTAATATCTAAATCTACCCTCTTTCAGCTTATAACCATTACTCCTTGTCCTCTCACTACACTCCCTGATAAAGAGTGCCTCCCCATCTCTCCTGTAGCCCCCTTCAGGTACTGGAAGGCTGCTATTATGTCTCCCCGGAGCCCTCTCTTCTCCAGGCTGAACAACCCCAATTCTCTCAGCCTGTCCTCATAGGGGAGGTGCTCCAGCCCTCTGACCAATTTCATGGCTTTCCTCTGGACTCTCTCCAACAGGTCCAGGTCTTTAGCAATACTCTGTGCTGGGTAAGAACTGGAGGATGAAGACATGTGCCCTCAGGATGAAATTCAAGGGGACAACTTTTTCCACTCTGCCACTTCTTCCTAAACTTCTATTAAGAAACATATCTCAAACGAAAAGCACTACAATGTTATAACAGAGGTCTCTGGGGCACAGAGCACCTTATCACGTGTGGCATCATTAGTGACATTTGTTATCTGTTCATCCTACCTCTCTAGCACAGGAAGGGAATTGGAGTAACTGCTCTTCCGTAGGGCAAGCACCATTGAGGAGAATGAAGTGAAGACTGACAAAATTCAAAATAAGGTGATATTTTTCTATCTGGCAATGAATGCTTTCTTTAAATGCCAAAAACTACAAGAGATACACTAGGCATACTTCTCCCAGGAGAAGAGTGAGGGAGCAGTGATTACAGTGTGTTTGTTAATTTAAGATGCCAAACCCCAACCATACACCTTAACCTTGCTGGGGCTGCTTTCTGCCAAGACGCTGTATCTATTTGGAGGCGTTTTGTCAGCACTGACACATTCATTTCTTCTCTTCTCACCCAGCCTGTCTACTGTGATTTCATATCCTAACTACCTGCTTTTTTAATGAGTAGCATATCTGCCTGACTTGCAAATAACATGCTTGAAGAACCCATTACTCAGCTGTAATACAGATCTGTGCTCACAGCTAATAGCATGAGGAGCTGCCTTATGAAAAGTAGGATCTTCTAGCTCCATCACCTTCCCTCAGTGTTGTGATCAGTCATCACTAGATATTTGCCTGGATAAGACCTCCCCATTTGAGGTCTCTGTTTTGGGGGTAAGATGAAACTAAGAAGCAGCAATCAGATAAACAGGTATAGATTTGGGAGCAATTTCACAATATAAATAAAAAAAATTACAGAGCTCAATGATTTGGAGTAATGGCAACAGCAATTGCCAGACAGTTACATCTCTGATAAATTAGCATGACAACAGAACTCTCCGACCACACGGGTTTCCGAGAAATGGCCTCGTGACCTACACTTCCTTTGGGAAGGCTTTACTGCAGTATATCAAAAAAAAGATGTGATTCATTCTGAGCACTGACGACTCCTGCATGGCTACAAAATACTCTGTACAAGCCCAAGCTGAAGGGAAAACTCCCCAGCACTGACACAGCAAAGAAGAGTTGACTCAAAGAATTAAAGGCTGCCACTGAACTAGGACACAAAATGCACTACCCAAAGCTTAGACATCAACAAAAAGAATGTACACAGCAATAAAAATAAACAATAAATCTGTTCTCTTGAATTACTGCCATAACAGAGTTCTAGATGCTGCTTTATAGGAGGTAAATTTCAGCAATATTTCAAATAGTGAGCTTGGATTCACAGCAGTCTCTTGTCTCTGCTTTAAGCTAATATTTTATTTGAGCTTCCCTAGCATTTTGCCTCAGAGCAACCCTAAAGTTCTTCAACAGAATATTCCAGGTGAAATTCTGCTTTGTGCAGCATCCCATTGCAAATAAATAATTATTCCTTATGGAGAGGACAGACCATTGTATTCCAAGACCTTTTACCACTAAACCCTTATACATTTTAAATCTGTAACAGGACCACCTCCTTTTATTCCCCACTTTCCATACCCTAACACAGAATGACACCTTAATATTACTTTTCCTACTTGAGTCACTATCTTAATGATTCTCCTTTTAAAAACCTGGCCTAGACAACGTCATGTCTCCCAGAATCCAACCAGAGATAAAGACCTGGACTGTACGGATGGAGCTGGGAGAGCGGGAGGCTCCCAGAGCAAAGGAGCCTTGCCAGGTATTGACTTACAGCTGCTCCTGTCCTATTGAACTGTCAGTCCCTCAGAGCACTAAAATAGGTTTTTTTCTCTCTGAAACCAGCTTTCTAATCCACCTTTAAATCTTTCTACTTGTTTACTATGTTTACTGATTATCTCCTGACATATAAACTTTAAAAATCCTGAACTCCATGAAAAAAAGGATTTGCTGGACCCATCACTAACCAATCAAAAAAAAAACCAACCAACAAACCAATATCAATATTTTCCCCTGCCCCCAGTTATTCCACTTTCACATACCACAAAAAATCCTCTGCCATCACCCCATTCTGCATCTAGACTGAAGAAAGCCTCCAGCTTTAAAGCAGTGAAAGAGCTTTACAGTTTTACAGCTTCATGATTTATATCACAGCAGATTTTTTTTAATCATTTCAATGTTTTGTTTGTTTGTTTGTTCAGTGCTGGGAAAGCCGAGAGGCACTATATAATTTTCTCATAACAAAGAAAAAAAGTGGCAACTGAAAAAGTTCAGCTGCTTCCATCTAACAGCTGCTCGAACAGGTGGAATATAAAGATCAGATTAGTTCTACACTTCAGCAGCAAATTCACCTACGATTTAATTCCAGGCTGGAGCAACCAGTCCATTTCTCCTTCATTCAATTTATTCCTTTATTTCCCTTTTTGGAGTTACCTGGTGATGTTCTTTATTAGCTCCTGTCGCACGGGCACCAGACGTCTACGCTGTCCCCCAAGTGCCACCGCTCTCCCCCATCACCACTCATCCGCGGGGAATGCCGGTCCCGCTTCCCAGCCCACGGCAGCAAGCAAAACTCATCATCTGAGTTCCCGCACTGCTTAAATGCACTGGAAAACACCACCGGCTGCTCTGCCCGACAAAAAAAGCTTTGCAGCCCGGAAAAGGCGGTGGGGGTAGGGCTTGCTGGCTTTTTAAAATGACCTAATACCGCCAATTAGGAAGTGGCTCTGAGCAGTTCAGAAGGACATGGGCAGCTGTTTCAAATAGACTAGCAAAGAAAACACAAGAGAGTCCTGTTGTACCCTCTGACTCCACATTAGAAAAAAATAAAGGGGAGAAGCGAAGGAATAGCACTCAGCAAATAAACCTTCAGGCCCATGTGAAAGATAACTTGAAGATACAATAATCCAAATATCTCCCTCCCATTCATTCCCTCTCCAGGGAGGATTCACATGCTGCAACTTCTGCAGAAATTATTCTGCACAAATTCATAGGAGATTATGTCCTGTCCTTACCTCCAGTACCAGTCAAGCAACATGCATCTGAACTGGAAGTTTTAGTATGTAACTTCAGGTTTCTTCTTTCTCCCCAAACACCTACGCTTCCTCTGCAAGGCAGGCCTCCTGCTCTTATTACCCTTCCTTTGCTCATGAGATGCTAGAGGCACACTTACAAAGAAAAAACTAAAAAGCAGGAAACTAACTGAATTTTCCTACCTGTAACAGGCTCCGCCCCTTGCGCTGCCGGGCTGATGCTCCTCTTCTTTGTCAAGGAACTTAAATCCATGTCTCCATTAAGGCTGGCTCCCACATCCACTGCAGCCTCAGGCTGAAGCTCCACTTTTTCTGTGGCTGGTAATTCAGGGGAACAAGGAGTCTCTGCTGCAAAAACCACCGCATCAAAACTTCTTACCATTTTAGGTACTTTATCCAGAGAGGGGCCATGATCTGCTGAAACCAAACTCTTTACTCCCCCAGTTTCCAGTGACTCAACAGCACGTAAATGGCGTGAACACGGTGAGAAGGATGATTCGGGTATGGCTTGGCTTTGCTCTCCATCGAGCTCAACCAAGACCCCCCCTTGAGCTGGTTTCGCAGAGGGACCAGCATCACTCTCGGCAGCCGGACAGACAGTGTCCGTGCTGGAGTCACTGTCGCACGTGGGCTCTTCTGCGATGGGCTGAAGCGCTGCCCGGGGAAGCACGCTTTCCATATCCTCCTGGTTTTCCAGATACGCTGCGACAGCAGCTATTGCCACCGGCCTTAACACTTCCTTACCCCCACAGGCATCGCTCAGGGCTCCCATTTCTGAAGCATCCTTTAATTCGGGGGTGCTGCTGCGTGGGGAGATTCGCTGTTGGGTTTGAGCGGGGTCATGTTCTCGGTTCAGCGCTGCATCTGGACAAGGGTCACTCTCCGCACCTGCTGACTCGCCCGTCGATGCGCGTCTGTGCATGGCGCCTTCTCCCACACCCTCTGCCCCAGTCTCACATGTTTCCTTGGTGGGGACTGTCCCTTTCAGCCCAGCATCCACATGGCTGCTGCCTGCCACAGGCCGCTCTTGACTGCAGGCAGAGGGTTTCACAACAGTGGCAAGAAGTTCCTCCAACAAAACCTGCTCCCTGCCACTTGCAGAAGCCTCCTGCTCAGACTCAGCTTTGTCTCCTTCAGCCTGCTGCGAGAGGTTCTGCTCCAGAGACCGCTCATCCCCAGCACAGTCCCCAGGCCAGCCGCTCCCAGCAGCTACCCTGCCAGGCTCCCTGTCACGCTGCTGGGCGAGCTCTGCCACGCCTTCCGCTGCCACCACCGCTTCCTGGTTTTGTTTAGATTCTTCATTATGAATTACAGAGGGTGTGCCTGCTAAATTACCCTCCACACAGTCTGCGCCCTTGGCACATGAAGCTAATCCAGGGTCATTACCTTGCAGAGCTGGCTCCTGCCCGGGAGGTGCCACTGCAGCATCTCCCTCCTGGCTCACAGTCGGTCCCTCTCCGCAGGGTAGGGGAGCAAGTGACTTCATCTCGCCGCTCAGCCCCCCCTGCTCCGAAGCACTTTCTGCTATCTCTGCTTCGCTTTGTGCACACTCTTTTTCCGCCAGACATGTGCTCGCATCCTCTGGAGGGGGCGAGGCAGGCTCATGTTTACTATCTTGAGGAGCGTCCGGTTGGAAGCTGTCGCCCATTTCATCTCTAACGACAGTTTGATCAGCAGAAGGGTGACAGCTAGCAACTTCCTGACCTCCGTCTGCAGAATCTGCGCTTCCTCCATCTCTGCTGCTGCTGCTATCAGTTCCTGCTGCCTCCTCTTCAAGGGTTTCATTGCCCTCCATTGCTTCAGCCGCATGTTCAGTGATCTTACCACTCTCCTCGCAACGTGCAGGTTCTGCACTGCTTTGATTAGATCCACCGACATCACCATTTTCAGGTTTACCATCAGGGCCATCAGTTTCCACGCTGTCTTCCAGTGAAGGTGAACTGGATTTCCCATCTGTGCAACCTGCTTCCACCTGCCTTTCTCGCTCTCTGCTCTTACCGCTGCCGTGGATTTCCAAACCAGGAGCAGGTTTTGATGCACATGTTGGACACTTCACCCCATTCACTAGTGGCAATGCTGTCCCAGCGCTCACAGCGACATCCTGCCTTGCTGCGGCACGGGCATCACCCTGGCCTTCCAAGCAGTTACTGTTTACCTGATCAGTGCATGAGTCCGCTCCAGTCTCTTTGTTATCGCCAGCCTTGCAAAGGTCAACAGAGACATCGCCAGTGCCACCATCTGCATTTGTACCCTCACACGCTGGTACCGCTCCTGCATCTGCATCCTCCCCATCTGCACTCTCAGTGCCATTAAAACCACTGAGTAAGGGCTGAGCAGCACTAGTTGACTCTTCCTCAGCTGGTGATTGCTCTTCTGGGTTTTCAGTCCTCCCTTCACCGGCCTCAGCCATCCCATCCTCTACCTGCTGCTGGCCTGCAGCCTTCTCAGCCGCCCCTGTACAGTTCCTGCATTCAGTTTGGCCCATAGCCACATCCACGCCCTCCAAGGAAGCTGGGGCTTTGCCTGCAGTTTCAACCACAGTAACAGTACTGCCAGCTGCACGCTCCTCGGCAGCTTGCACTTCCTGACGGGGACTATCTTTACTGCACAAGCCAGCTTGATCCAAACCAACTCCAGCAGATGTCATTCCAGCTTCCTCATTTGTATTTCCACAGGATGGAAGATTAACGGCACCGTTTACACTTGCACACGGGCTCACTGTGCAGTCCTTCTCATCTGATATAGTCCCAGAGCCTTCAGCAGAGGTTGGCCCCTCCTCTTCCTTTTTACTCAACGTCACTGTATTTTTACTTTCACAGAAGCACTCTGGGCTCTTTGCATCCTCCGTGCTTGGCAAGTCATCTGGCACATCATTAAAAGCTCCCAAACTCCTGCTGTTGCATTTCTCCTCCTGGTGGGTTTGGTCTGAGAGCTGCCCAATGTCGAGCTGAACATGATCAGAGAGATTTTCCTGCCTTCCTTCTCTTGCCATCTCTTCTAGGCTCTGAGAGGTAGTGGATGGGTGAACATCTGGCTCTGCTCCTTTAGTACAGCTGTCTCTAGAATCTCCCAGTACAGGCTCTGTCTTCTGCCCTAAACTCTGTAACAAGACCAAAAAAAGAAAAAATTTTGTCACACATTTACACTGTCTTCCATCTACGAGAACTATATCCACATAATCCTATTTGATGTGACTCCTCCTCCCTCGCACCTCTACCTGGTGTCCCTTGGGACAGAGCTACAAACATATCGCAGTGGGTACTTGATGTTGGTTTTGTTATGCACTAATACTGAAATTATTAGCATGACTGAAACATTGATTGGAAAGAGCATCCAGAGGTCATCTAGTCCAACCTCTTGCCTGAAGCTGGACTATCACCAGTGCGACATCAGCTTAACCATGACTTTGTCCTTCCAAGTCCCCATAACCTCTGATGATGAAGTACCCATCACCTCTCTGGGCAACCTGTTCCTGTGCCAAACCACCTTCCCATGAAGGAGTTTTTCCCTAACAGCCAACGTGAAGCACCTGAAGCTGCAGTTTGTCCCTCTACCCCCTTCTTACACCATCTGCCACTACTGAGAAGAGTTGTAATCTTTGTAACTGTCCTTCAAGCAGCTGTAGTCACAGTTTTTGAGTGTACTTAAATTCAAAATCAGTAAACAGCATAATCCAATCTACCAAATAATGCCAATGTGTACCAGCCCAGTCCCAAACGCCTTGAGCAAATGCTGCTTAAGAGCAACTTCAGATTCCTGCCCCATGGCACTCTCCAGTTCTCATCAGCATTGCTCAATTTTCTCTATATTGACGGAAACAGTATTTCAGATGTGGGAATTGGCTGACAATGTCCAAACACCGCCACTTGTCTCCTGATCCTAGGACTGAACTATTCATCTAATCTATTCCTGAGTATGGCATCTATAATTAAATATCTGAAATTTACTTCCTAAATGGAAATAAAATTTGAAAATGATGACATACTATCAAAATTAATAAGTGCATTACTGTGGAACAGTAGCAATGTACTCAATTCTTGTCTGATCTCCCTTTTTCTTCCAGAGCACCTGCTTTGTCAAAGATCCCCCAAGCTTTTATAGGTTGATATGATCAAACTTTTACTTAAAAAGAACCATCTGTTTCAATATATTATTTTTTATTCTCTTTGCTGCACATTAGTGCTCACATGTCAGAAAAAGTGACTTGCTAAATTAACAAGCAACCTCAGCTCTTCCATGTACACCCCACAGAGCTCCCTTGATGTTCTGTGGCAGGCTCAGGGTTTTGCTCCATAAGCTTTTGGAGGTCATGCTGGTTTCTCAGTAAGTGCCTGTGACTCTCCACAAATACAGAACTCTAATGAACTATTTCAGACTGTTATTTTTTGCATTTACTTGTAAAAATACTCCAAAAAAAAACATGCGTCCCAGAAGCCCAACTTAAACAGGTTCCTGCAAATTTTAAGACTCTAGTTGTCATCTGAAAAATGTCATCTGAAACACCCCTTTTCTCCCTGAATATTAAAACGGTCAATATGTTACTTGATGCACCACAGGGAACTTCTGGGTATTGCATATTCAAATAGAGGCTATAATCATCACTGCTACATTGAGGAAATTGCATTTACTCGTCTTTCCACACTCTGAGGTTTGCAAATGATGAGCACTGCTGCTGAATCACAGACTGCTAAACACACTTTTGATGTTTGCCATGAATTTCCTATTTAGAATAATCCTGCGACCCAGCTCCTATATATGCTGTCAGCTATGCCAGAGATCCCTGGTTTTGGGGCATACCAAGACAAGTTAGCATCGCAGGCAGGCAGCAGGGCATCTCCATCCATGACGTAGCACCAGGGATGGGATGCAGGGCTCTGCGTGCAGCGATACCCGCAGGCTGCAGCTATTTTTCGCAAAGAACAAGATCTAACACTGTGCTGGCAGTCTGGTGGCTATAACCCCGCAGCAGAGCACCGAGACTGCACTGCTGGTTCCCAGCCAGGATGGACAGACACAGACAACAGCAATGGCTTGCTTGGGAACAAGCAAGTTTTTCAAAAGGAGGGGCCACGGCAGCCCCAGCATCCTCATGGGTGAAGTCACTCTGCCGATAGTCTGAAAAATAGAGCCGTCTCCCAAGGCCGCCAACTGGCTTTTAACTGACCTGAAATGAACCTAAATGAAATAATTACAGGGCTGCTTTCCAAATTCAAATCAGATTAGATATGAAGTGAAACAGTGCTGGAAAGAAAAAGCCTAAACATAGCCTTTTCTGATTCCATTGCCAGGCAAAACGTACCCATCTGGCATTCACATGAGCAAACAAGAACTAGGCTCGATATGCCAGCCGTGCTTTAGCGTCTTTTGATGGAAAGGGGAAGCGATTCCACGATTAGACGGGGTTTGCTGCTCATGTCATCAGTTCCTGTTGAGATGAGGGGTAATTAACATCTCAGGTGCCCAGGGAAGGGTCAAAACCGCTCAGGGTGACCAATACCTCTGAATGTCCACCCAGACCACTGCCTGCAGACAATTCTTCCCTTCCTTAAAGGAACAAAAATACCCTGTTACTTAGATCTCACATATCTGTAATGGTGGATGTATGAGCTGATGACACCAGCAAGACGTGGGGGGTGTTTCTGAGAAGTGGCACATAAATGTCCCACTGTTTCTCCTTCCTAACCCAGCTGAGTCCCTGTGGCATTGATTTTAAAGCAGCAAGAGGACGCCCTTTCAAAGCCCCAAGGCTTCTGCAGTCCAACCACCATGGGGTCCGAGAGGAGTACAGTGAGGGGACCACTACAGACATGCACCCCATGTGGCCAGGGTAGGCTCATCCTCCGAGTCCCACACCAAGGTGCTAAGGAAATGGCTGTTTTCTCCACCACCTGTCCCAGAGACCTTCCCCTCAGTCTCCTCTCTGACCCGAGCTTTCCATCTGAACAGAGACGTACCCATCATGCAGGGCCTGCCTTACGCTGCCTGATGGCTGCCAGACACCCGGGAGGGACAGTCCACCTCCAGGGAGGTTTCCTTGCCCATCCGAGCAGGTCCCAACCTAATGGAGAAGGCAGGAGCTGGGAGCAGAGAGAGCCCACGAGGCCAAGCAGAGCCAGCGTTGCACAGCCCCAAGCCTGCTTCTCTTCTAAGAGAAAATTTGCTGCCAGTACAGCTTTATCAGATCTCCCCGTGCTTGAACGAGAAGAAAATAGGCAAATGTCCGCCTGGATGTCTGATAATGACATCCAGAGAAACCGCCTAGGTAAATATTTCCCCGAAGAGTGCCTACGCATGGAAATCCTCCCCAGGTGCCAGGCTGCAATCAGCCAGCTCCGCTTCTCTTTCATCATCTCAGCCTTTTCCTTACCATGTGCTGGTGGCTCTGCATGTGCATCTGAAGGTGCCGTATGTCACTCTCCAAGCTGGCTGTGACCCCTTCCTTGGTTTCAGCTGTCAGCATGTAAACATCGAGCCCGCGGTGGTGCTTCACGCTGTAGTCCCCCGAGTGCACGGTGTGAGACAATGTGCTCCAGGAGTCTGGTTCCCTGGCTTCCTCTCTGCAATAGAATAAGCGAAGGTTAATCTGGAGGCAAGGAGGGATGCTGCATTGCAGGACACGCACTGTTCTTCACTCTGGACAGTTCATCTAATCAACGACTCAACCGAAACAGAGCACCGGCTCCAGGGCCAGACAGACAAATACACACGCACACTTCTCGGTCTTGAAATTTAATGTGATTTAGAATTAATGTCAGCCACAAGCTTCATTTCACAAGGTCTTTCTCAGGTAGAGAGATCTGCTTTTTTCCCCAGAGTACAAGAGACTAGCAGCAAAGGGCACAACAATAGGTTTTTAAAATGGAGTTTATTGCTGGTGAAGATCACCAAAGCAGCTGTTGCAGAAAAACAGACACCTGAAAGACAGACCACGGAGGGACAAGTTAGAAGGAATGAGGGTTATCACAATACAGACACTAACTTCTACACTGAAACCAGCACGTCACTTCATAAACACCCAACAGACATCAAACCGAAGCCATTTTTTCACTCCTGAAATGAATTTAGTGTGCTCTGTGAAACTGCTTCTGTGCCAGACGTTCTCAATGTTGTGAGACAGCTGTCCTTCTGCAGCAAGTGTCACAGACATTCTTTTTACCAACCAAAAGGAAGCAAGGAAAGAAAGATGTCGTAGTAAATCAGAATGAAAAAATAACTCAGCAGTTACATGTATTCAATAGAAATTTCTATTCAGTCATCTCTTTTCAAATGTCAAACCCTGATTTTGCACAGGCTCGTGACTCAAAGCAGTAATTCTTCAGGTCTCAGCAAGCTGCATAGAGGCTACACTGCCCCTTTAAATGGGTGAGAAAACTTATTGAGGTGTTCATCTAAAGCTTCAGATTTACAGATTTCCCTTTGAATCAGAACTGACTCAGGAAACCCAAAATCTGTTTTGATTGTCCCAGGACAGAGCTGTTTGCGCAGCATGTGTCCGAACACCGCATCCCCCAGGAGAGATGTAGAGCCAAGCATGAACGTTATAGGAACTGACCTGCTCAGGGTGTGAGAAATGGAAATGTCTCTGTTTTGATTTCACTATGGATGCATCTACTGAGAGCCAGCCTGAGCTGAGAGCATGTCCCCTCCCTGTCACAGGGACCAGATCCAGCCACAACAGGCATCCCCAGATCTCCCTCTGTAACACATCACCCTAGAAGGGGCCTGGGACAGAGATTGCATGCAAATAATTAAGGAACTCAAGAAGATACATATACAGAAATGTATACCAAAAACCAGGGAAAAATACACATAATTTTCAAGACCTTTGCGAACTGGTTTCTTTCTTTAAAAGTAGCAAACCTTTCTAATGAGAACTGATCCCCTGAGCTTCAGCAAACCACAGCACTACCTCTCTGGGAAGCCAAAGCAAAGTCCTAACAAGCAAACGATACCACAACTGGCAACAGGAAAGGGCAGAGCAGGGTAGGGAAACGGTCGGACGGTTCATCACACGGCAGAGAAACCTGTGCAGGTGATTGACGGTGCTGGCAGCGGCCGTCCTTGCTCTGCCCCGGCACAACCCCGCACCCTCCTGTGACTCATTTCGGGCTAAATCTGCAAGGGAATTCAGACAAAGCAAAATTACATCTTCCACCATTCACCACCATTTAACTCAACTGACTTCAGTAGAATTAGTCTTGATCTCATCAGAATCAATATTTCAACAGAGAAACAGAAGGAAGCATCTAGTTTTTGATGGTGATTAGTATAAATCCCTGGAAGCACTGAAGTCAACTGAGCCATTACAAGTGACTGAAAAAATGACCTTCCTTTATCAAGGAAACAGAGACATTTCTGTCTGGAGTATTTTTCTTTTCAGCTGTCACGTATGAGAAACTACTGTACTCAGGGCCGCTCTCAGAGTACAACGAGGCAGTCAGCACAGAACCCACGCTCACCCACTCACGGGGCCAACATCAGCTGGATTAAAGAACCGAGCGCAATGAGTCTGCTCTGCTTTCTCATCAGCTTCAAGTACACTTACGAGCATCTTCAAATCAGCACCCACAAAGCAGCCTGCATGACTTAAGCCTTGAAGGACCCTCAAAAGCCTCAAAATCTGGAGTGAGATGACAGGCAGAGTCCCCTGCAACACCCTGAGTGTGACCACTCCTGCAATTTTGCACCTTCACCCGCCCCAGACCGATCAAATAATCACTTCTGCTTAGAACGACAACAATTTATTTTCAGAATCAAACCGCCGATTCTGTGTTACACCCTATAAAGGACTTTAAACCTTTTAAAAAACCAAGATCTTTCTCACATCCAGACAGCTACAAACAAGCCCAAGCTCTCATTTTCAGTAGCAGTCACCTACATTGCACAAAATTAAGCAGTAAACTAGTGGATGGCTTAATCTATTGATGCCTTCAAATCATCCCTTTCATACACTGCTGCATCCCAGCACTGATGGTCTGCAGCAGAGAGGACAGACGGGTATTCTCAAGTGTTAATTTGTTTGCACACCGCTATTTCTGTTGTTCAGGCAATCTCTTTGAAGGGCATGTAGAATCACAGAAAAAGATGCTCCTGCACATTTGTCTTCATGCATTGAGCTTAACTGTTTGTGTCTCTCCCGCATACCTCACTGCAACCCCCAGGTTTTATTGAGAGATGATAAAAACACACAGTCTTCCAGGAAAAAAAAAAAAAAAAAAAAAAAAAAAAAGCAAGCTTTACAGTCATGTATTTTGTACTTCCTGGTTGTTGAAAGACATTTATTTTGTACAGATTAGGAATTTCTGCAGTAATTGTATACAAGTGCATACCCAAGCTGGTCTACTAGGGGATAAAAACAGATATGCAAATATTTACTGAAGATTTGTTAACAAAAATGTACATAGAAATTCCATCATCAAGAAGCCTGAAAATCTGCTTCCATTCAGCACAAAAATGTAGCTTGCTGCAGTCTGCCAGCAACAACGGAAATCTGTCTCCTTATGAGGTTTAGCCATCCTGGGTCAATTCTTTCTCATCCTTTCCTTTTCAACAGCTTCCCATCAAAATTGGCAAAAGATATCAGTGAACAGAAAATTTCCTTGGCGTAATCTCCAAGCCCAACTTTTGCAGAACAAAGTATCTTGCTTGGTTAAGAAAACCAGGACTGAACGATAAGGTTGACAGTGATCACCAGCTCCACCCACTGAAAAATCCTGGAAGAAGTCCTCCAGCCCCAGTCCCTGCTGCTTCTGCTGCAGTCTTCCATCCCATGGATGTAAACCCAGAAGGGAAATTGCTGCTTCAAGAAAGGACAGACTTGACCAGCCAGCCATTCCTATGTGGAAAGGTGACTCAAAGGAGGATGCCAACCCCAAACAGGGCGAGAAGAGAAGCAAAAAAAAAAATAAAAATACTGTCATGCCATGCCCTGCTCAATCTGGGAGCTTATAGGATTGCTCAGACTGCAGCATCACCTCCTGCCCATTTGGCACATAAAACAAGACGATAGGTAGTGTTTTTTAAACCTCCCAGCATCACTCAAGGAGACTCGTCCCTGACAAAGGAGGAGCTGTACCATATGGGCATGCTGAATCTCTTCTCATCTAGTGGAGGAGCAGATAGGATGGCCCCACGCCAGTAAGTAGCGGAAAGAGGGAGAGGAAAGCCTGCACCGGCACAGCACAGCTCCCAGCTCCCTGCAGATACGGGCAAGATATTTTTAAGAGGGAAGATAAATGAAAAAGGGAGAACAAAAAAAAAACAACACAACCCAAGCAAAGCTCCGCTCGCCTTCGAAAGCTGCAGAAATGGTGCCCACTGACAAGGGTTTGAAATTCCGTGGTGCCGGTGTGCTCCCGGCAGGCGTGTTTTCTGGTGCAGAGATAAGAGGTTTTGAACCGAGGGGAGAGGAAGAGGAGGGGCAAGAGATCAGAACAGGAACAAAAAAAACCTCAGTGGGTTAAGCAGAACCTCGTGTTAGGAAAATTTATCCTACAGTTTTACAAACAGGCAAGGAAGGCTGTATGGGAACTCAAGGTGTTATTTCCTGGGGATATCCCCTCCAGATTTCCGAGCTGGACTTTGGCAGAAACAAAACAAACTCAGTAGCGTTGCCAGCTCTTATGATCTTACTGCAAGCCTGACAACAGCTGTGGGTTTATTCTGAAAGCATCAGCCCCTAGATTCATGTGATAAAGGCCAGGCAGGGGGAACAAACCACTTTTTTGTTTTTTTCCTTCTTAAACAAAGCCCCTAGTATTATGGTCATAGTGAAAAGCTAGGAAATGATAGAATTTAGATGCTCTTATCTGTAAGACACATAAAAACTCAACTAAACTGAGTTTTAATCTTACAACCTTATTCAAATTCTGAATTATTACTGCTGTTATAATACCACACTGAAAACACTAGATGAGACAGACTGGGATAAGAAGGAACCATGCCTGCTGGGACAGGATGCTGGACTTTCTGGAGACTGCACAACACGTCCATAGCACAGGCAATTTAAATCAAGCCAACAATCCCTCCTGTGAAAACCCAGCACCCAGACTTCATGCAGTCACCAGTACCTAAAACCAAGACATCTTAGAAATCTGACAAAATAGAACTTCAACGCTATTTGCAGAAACGCTGGGGTAATAGAGGCTTTGTATACATATGATCAACTTTGCACCCACAATCTTTAGCAATATACAAAATGCTATTGCACACAAACACTTTCTTGTTCCTCCTCGTTTTTACAACCATCAATATGCACTGTATATGAGACAAACGAAAGCAACTAGTATGTGCTAGAATGGGTTAAAACAAACCAACCATTTATAGTTTTAAAAGATATTTAACAAACACAGCATTCATACTTCAGGTGTTTCCAAGTGTTCCAAAAGTCCCAGGAAAGCACTTTAAAAAAAGTTTCTTACGTAAGAAAATTTCACACATGACTCACTGATCTGAATACTTTTGATGGTGAAGGAAAGAGTTAAAGTTCATCCAATGCAGAAGGATGACTAACGCCTTAGGGTGCTTCGCACAAACATGAACTGCAGTGGGCTCTGAC